TCGCTAGAGCGAAGAATACCAATTCCTAGTAGTTTTACAGACCTACAAAAGTACTGAAAATCCACAAAGACCGCTCAAGCGTAGGAAGTGGCGCTCAAGTGTAGAAGCAAAATTCTGGGTAACAACGATTTGAAAAATAAGCTACCAACCTATTCTAAACATGACCAACACAACCCAAAAGCCAAACTCAAAGAAGTATAAGGAAATAAGACATAAATGAATATCAATGAAACCCGAATCCAAAACATCAAATGGTTCGGGTCCAAACTAGAATCGCTATAAGCATGTTTTGAACCTAAACAAAAATTACACACAGTTAGAAACCGACTTAAATCATGTTTAGTTAGAAAAGAAAAACTAAGTTAAGATAGTCTAATTGTTTTATTTTCGCTTTATCGATACTTGTATTCTTGTTGTGTAGGTCGAGACTGTAAAGATTAACTCCGAACACGAGCCATTTGTGAGTAATATTATTGTAAAGTAATGTTTGAAAACTAGTTTTCGAAGCTCGACGGTATAACATGATTTATGAAATTTGTATTTTGATTCTGAATGAATGAATATCTTGTATTTTGTTTAAATCTATCATGGCATCCTTAGATAGTCCTAGCCATTAGAGGATAGTCTAAATACACCATGGCCATATTTGAGCTCCATCGCCACCGAAATGTGGATTGTCTAATCGGTACCATGGTCGATTATTCTGTTAAGAGGTTCTAATGGATGTACCATGCTATCATGTTTTGAGTATGAAATGGTCTTATGATATACTTGAATGTGTTTAAATGTAATATGATGTTACTCTTTACAAATGTGTTTGGGATTCATTCATTTACCATTTTACCTTGATATTATTCACTAAGCTTCAACTCAGCCCTCACCTTTATATGATTTAAACAAAATGAGGAGCAGCAGTAAAGACTTGCTTTTGAGAAGTTGTTTTGAAGAACCTCTTCTTTTATTTTCCCTTTCAATACTTTTGTACTTTTGGAAGACGATATTTTGACAAGTTGTATAATAGTTAATAAGTTTTTGTGCTTTGTGGGTGTAAATATTTGTTCCTTTTGTAATCTATGTACATGATGTAAACTATTTAGAAGTTAAGCAATGAAGATTGTGGTTGTGTTTGATTTAATTTTTAAATCAACTTTTGGATTGAAAAATCCAAAATCATGTTTGGTTTACAATGAGAGAAAATTGTTTTCTCTTTCCTCTTTCCTTCTCTTTATTTTTTTATTTGTATACATCAATTAATCACTTTTTCTTTCTCTTCTCTCTTCTCTCATCCTCTCTCATTCTACACATCAATTAATCAATTTTCTCTCACACCCATCTATTCAACTACAAAAAAAAGCTACAAATCATTCCAAAACTATTTTCAAAATATTTAACCAAACAAGTTTTTAAATTTTGCAAACTCTTTTCAAAATTTATCTTTCAAAATTGATTTTCAAAACTAAACCAAATGGAGCCACAGTTTCATTTCATATCTACTTATGCACACTCTAATGGGCGTAATGAATTAATAATGAAATTTCCACTTAAAGATCCATTATGTCTTAGTCCATTTTGAGATTTGTCAAGTTAGGCCTTTGGTAATGAAAGATTACTCGTTGGTCACCTCACAATCCTTTAGGGACAGGATGGAGTCGTGACAAAAAGATATGGACAGACTAAAAGCAATATATAAAGAGTATGAGTGAGTGAGAGAGAGAGATTCCATCACCTCCTTGAACCTGAGTCTCTATCTAAACCTTGAACCTGAGTCTCCATATTCTACTTTGGTGATTTTGGAGAGTTCAATGTTGTCGTCGAGGATTGTGGTGCAAGAGATATGTATATATATACCATAAATATTGTGAGTTTTTTTGATAAAACATTTATAAGGACAAAACAGTCCACAAAAAACCACTAATATAGGAAAAAAGATTTGGTAGAACATAAGTCTACATGTATAGAACTTATTGGAATATAAAAATATCTTATGGGCTGATTGTGATAGAAGTCCATGAAAGGGAATTTTCCACTAAATCCCCCATAATTTCAATAATAATAACAAAATATGAAGAAAAAAAAAGTGTATAAATATATGTTTTCCTATAGTGTTTAAATTAAAAACAATTGTAAAGAAACTCAATTCAAATACTTATTAAAAGGTCCAAACTTATTTTACTATTTAATTTTATTAATGTTTCAAAATCAAATAATTATTAAAATAGTCTAATTTTATGAAAAATAATAGTCCATATCTATTATGAGTAGTGCTAGGGAGCTCGAGAATAAACACAGAAGCAATGAGTGAAAAAGAGCTCATTTTCTTGATATTACAACTACAATTTGTTTTTTAATGATATCTTCTGTACTAATGCCTTCTTTTAATTATCCAGTTTCATGTAATGTTTTCGTATTTATAATTATTTAGTCTATCAATTAAGGAAGAAAAAAACTTTTTTATTAACCAAAAACATAAAAAGTCCAAAGGTAAATGAAATCAACAATTAGCGGGTTGATGGAACATTGTTCAAGAGATTCTATCAAATTTGTTTTAGTATTAGCATTATCTAATTAAATAATTACGTTCTTGTTCATGTGGATTGCCCAAAATAATGGTTGAATTTTAATTTAGGATAAAGATTGGTAGCTCGAGGATATCCCCCCAAAAAAAACCTAAAGCCCAAAACGACGTCGTTTTGGGCTTTAGGGGGATTCGGGGGGGATTTCCTCGAGCTACCAATCTTTATCCATCTATTATATTAAATGAGTGACCTTGAAATTACTTTTTCTTTCAAAGTCAGACTTGAAATGATTAGATTAGCCTCGATATTAGCATAGTACTGAGTTTAGAATAACATATATGCGCTCACTATATGTAATACAAGTCTGAATTCAACCTGGTCTATAATATGCCTACTTATATTTATGCCAATAGCATGATTGGAGAGATGGTATTTCAGCCTTTTTCACATTTTTTTTTTAATTATTATTATTACATTATAAAAGTAGTCCCCCAAACCTCAAAAGTAAAATTCATGAATATATAAAACAACAATGATTCATCCCACTAAAAACATCACCCCTAATAGCATTAATGTATTAAAAAAGTAAAAATAAATAAATAAAAAATACAACTCCAAGACCAAAACATCACATCATTAATGGCGGGACCCACTGTCACCTAATTAATGGGAGCACTAATTAGTGCTCCCAATCATTTTTCTATATAAAAAGACATGAACAAAAAGAAAGAAAACAATGTTTGGTTTTTTCCCCACTGACCAAGAATGACCCTTATCCTATAAAATCTCACTACTTACACAACCATTTACAATGCGTAAGCGCATCACTTTTCACTACTCTCTTGCTTAAAAATATACACCTCTTTCAATTTTTTATTCGCAGTGAGATAATATATTGTTGTTGATTAATGTTGAATGAGCTTATGATTTTATGATTTAATAAAATCAATATCTTGTGTATACTGGTGTGTGAAATATCAAAACAATTAAAAATATAATTTGTAACAAATTGAATCTGAAACTTGGCAAAACAATTATATGAAACGAAATCAGAAATTCGAAACGAACTTAGAGACATAATGTCTATTCTGAAAATTCACAAAATAGATAGTGATCGAGACTTGTATTTGACATAACGTTCTTAAAATGAATTTTGCCCCTCACTCTAGAGCTCATGAGTTTAAATAGACATATGTCTTCTATGATACAACGAGCAGGGGCCTTGCAAAAATAACACTTCAATCTGTGAGTTTAGCAAAATAATGCAATGCAGAATTCTCTTTGATAGAAAAACATACTACCACTACAAGAATTAACACTTTTGCCGACCAAAAAATTAGTCGCTAAAAGCCCATTTTTGGTCGGCAAAAGTTATCTGCGACCAATTTTTTTGGTCGCTACTTTGGTCGCCAATTAAGGGTCAGCAAAAGTAATTCGCGACCAAAATTTTGGTTGGTCGGCAAAAGTTGGATTTGCCGACTAAATTTTTGGTCGCTAAATATTTAATTACCGCGACTAATTCATTTTGTCGCTAAAACACTTTGGTCGCGAAAAGTGATATTTTCCCGACCAAAAAGTTTGGTCGCCAATTATCACATTCAACGACCAAAAATTTGGTCGCCAATTGTGACATTCCACGACCAAAAAATTTGGTCGCCATTTGTTACTTTTCGCGACCAAAACTTTTGGTCGGCAAAAGTGAGATTCCACAACCAAGAGCTGTTTTGGTCGGCAATATATGTATTTTTTGCGACCAAAACTCTTGGTCGGCAATTGTCATTTTTTGCAAAAAAAAATTATTTATTTGTCCCGACTAATAAATTGATCGCCAAAAGAAGGAAAACAATACACCTGTAATTCCTAATAATTCATTCAATCCATAATAAACCTATAATTTTAAAGCATCATCCGTGATGTGAATGACACAATGATTCATCACATCCCTTTCATCGTTCATGAGACGTAAGACTTTACAAAATTTGAAAACTAGGAGTGATAGAAGCCTAGTAAGGCTAAAGGGTTGATTTACCTGGAAGAGAGTCACAAAACCAGGGATCAAAAGTAAAAGAGAAGAAAAGTAGCCAATCATATGTAAAGTTACAAAGAAGAATAATCAACTTTGCCTTCTAAGCTAAATATGTCATTCTTGTGCTAATGGTCATGGGAGATCATGAAGAATCCAACTTAAGAACCCATATCTCTTGTAAGAGCATATACGACATGCTGACAGAAATCTACAAAAAAACAAACAAAATTTAAATGAAATCTTACCACAGTCAAAGAAAAAAAGCTAAGAAAATAGAAGAATATATTATTATGGAGGAAGAAGAAGCAACAAGAGATTCGAGCAAGTACCTCATTAGCATCAACAACAAGCCCATTCATCAAGAGACAGCATTGGAGCTTAACTAAACCCAGCTTAAAAACAAACATGGAGCTCTCTTGATATAGTTCAATGAAAGTTTGCTCTGTTTCCAGTTTTAGTAAAGCATCTTGAGGGGGAGATTTAGCCTTTGGTCTACAGAATATAAGTACATTTGAGTGGTAGACTACTAAAAGGAACAATCAACCAAAAGAAATTAAGAACATCTACATCAACCTCAATTGGACATAACAAGACGATGATACAATAATCAACTCTTAAATATGCATCCAGAATGATCAGAAACATTATGTACACATAACAATGAACTCAACTGTAAAATATCTTTTAGACTTGCAATAATTTTAAGTTCAAAATTTTTCCAATAAAAAAACTTACAATAATGTTTCAACAAATGCCCCTTCCACATGATGCATTTCAGGAGCATCTTCTGTAGGATCTGCTGACTCAATCCGTAATTTATTTATCTGCCATATAACAAGTAAATGGAACTCAATCTAGAGCAATTTTGAGATGAATTTAATGATGCTACCCTGAGACACATGACACACTCACAAGACATGAAAAAACAAGAAGCTTTAGAAATTGCCAATTAATTGGTTTCACACACATCCAGAAGTGTGCACAGGATTACACACCCAGACCCATTAAAGAATCTCCTAACTTTCTCATTAAACATTGGTGACATTTCTATCTAAATAGAACAGAAGTACCAAAACCTTTGCGACAAGACATTAGTGAGTTGAGTTTCCTCAAATTACCAGTACCAGAACCTGGTAACAGTAAGTAACGCAATAAAATTGTATCATTTTATTTTTTGTGATTTTTTTGAGAATATATTATCTGATGAATTTGTAGTTTTTCTTATTTCTTTAATCACATATTCAAGCATGCCCTTTTTAACAAACAATTTGAAGTTTAGACTGTGTATAAAAACATGAGATGGAGGTAAATAGCAATTACAAAATTAGCATGAGACAGGAACTGCAACAGTAAAGGTGATATCAAGAATGTGTTTTACCACTCATTTATGTTTATTGGCCTTTCATCCTAAGAAAGAGTCTCCATAAAGTTTTTATATTCATGATTCGTGAACTTCTTTACTTGTCCAAAGATTTGTGGTCTTTATATTTTGTTTCAGTATTTTCAGAGAATAAGAGAAAACATGAACCGGCAAAACAACAAAATGTTGAGAAAGAAACAAAACTGAGAAATGATTTCTTTTACATCCCAGAATATGCAAATAAGAATAATATAGATTCCAAAGTCATACATTGCTCAAAAACTAGAAAGCCATGTGAATCCCGTGATGTTCCTTAATTTAAATAAAAAGACGTATGATCTGCAAAACAGAGTCATAATAACAATTTTCATTAGCATCACAATAAATTTATGGAATAAGTGGACAAAACACAAAGCACAAAACCTGCTTACAATGATTTCGTTTGTAAGATAGATCATGAGGTGTTGCAACAAAACTTTTAAATAAATAAATAATGGATACCAAATAACAGATCTACTGACATGTTTTAAAAAATCCTTAGAATTTACTTCTACGACTCTCAGTTAGGCCAACCTACACCTGAAACATTACTCAGCATAAATAAAAAGTCTGCTAAAGCTTAGTTCTAACTTAACTAACTGCAGTTCAAATACCTTATCCCTATCTCGCCTCTTTCTATGATTGTGCTTTTCTACAATACAATTGAAAAACACAAATATAACATAAAAAATAATTAAAAGCTTCATTTCATATTGGGAAAAGATCAGCCAAACTTCAAGTTCAGGCCACTATGACCAAGTTCAAATTAGGCTCCACCAATAAATTTCAGGATGGGCGGGCAGTCAGGTGGCAGCTAAGCCCAATTAAATATCTAGAGGACTAGTAGCAACCTCTTGTTTACAAATATATACAACGGCATGTGATATCAGTCACCTTCGGCATTACTGGTTTGCAAAATAAGGCAGAACAATCCCTTAAAATTAAAGCCTAGATAATAGAACAGAAATGCTCATCATCATTGAAATTCATAAAAAATTTGACAACAATTCTTATTCCTTGCTCCAGTAAGGCACAATGCAACACTATCTAAGGTAATATTGTCCTTAAACCCAATTGACTTGCAAATACGCTCAATGTACTTTTAGTTAGAAGACATTATCACAAGCATTGAATAAGATAGAAAGAAGCATTACCAGGCTGGATACATCATCATTACTCATGGGAGCTGCTGGGATTTCGCCATCATTCATTTCAATCATCTTGATGAACTTCGTAGAGAACAATATCACCCCAAATCTCATTGGAAGATTATTCTCATACAAAGAAATAATCATGTCAATGGACTACAAATACCAAAGGAGAAAAAAAAAATGAGCAATTCCTGTGATATATGAAATGCAACAAGAAACTCAGATTAGTTGACAGATGTTAAATACTTGCCTCAAGACCGCAAGCTGAACCAGGATCCAAAACAATAACTGCATGGAACAGGTTCTTACGAATGTAACTTAGCTGTCCAGGGAAGACAGGCATCAAATTCTGGAAAGCAGCAAAATAAAAGACAAACCATTTAATGAAAATTCCAATGCATACAGAAGCCATCTAAAGTGCCTGATCTAGTCATAAAGCTATCACAGATTTGAACAAAATCTAGTGTAACTCATTAATATTGCTCCGCCATCGCTTGTACATAGTACCTCATTAATATTTGGTCGGATTTCAACAATAAGGGATATGGTCTTCCCAAATGTCAATACATTGTCTGTGTCTGTGTTTCTGGCAGAAAAGGGAGACTGAGGGTTGGATTTATTAAATGCAGGAGAATTAGCTTTAATTTATTATTAGAGTGCTGTGTTGACAACACCTGCTCCAGAACCATCAACTTTGAGAATGCACATCTCTTAATCTACTTACTCAATGATCATGAAATTTGGTTGAAGTGTTCCTTATTAAGTCTATTTTCAAATGCCGCTAGTAGCAACAAGTCAGATTGTGTGTAAGTGGAGTTATGATCTAAACAATGCATGGAACTCATTTTTGACAAAAAGACAGAACAAATGGGTGAACTGCAAAAATCATTATCTCTTAAACCACAAACCTAAAAAATTATGAAACTCTACAGGTTTAACCTACTATTGAGTCTGGTTCTAATCCCACTGGTCTTGCTTGATTTGGTTTTGTAAATCTCATTTTCCAAACCTATTTGTAAAATCAACAAAATCTGTTCAGTTATGTAAAACACTATCATAAAACCCATTTTATAAGGCCAAATGAGGTATCAAATGTAAGGACTCGTGAATCCAATGAATTATACTGGTGTATGTAACCTGCAAGGAAAAAAAAAACTGGTAGAATAGATCACCAGCTTCAGTTTCAAAAAATTGAAGCAAAAAATTGAATTATAAACACAACTAATTCCAATTTTTTTTTTTTTTTAAAGATTCTATTGAAGCAACACTTATACAGCCAATATACAACACAACTGCTTCTCAAATCTAAACGAAATCGCTTGTCACTTCAGCAGCATATAGTGCCTTATGTTGAAAACCCCTCCCATTTCTTATGCATCTTCTAACCTCTAACTTCGTATTTTAGACGTTCAAAATTGAAAGTTTAATTTTGAACTTCTAATCAGCAGCATTTACAAGTTAAACCTGAGATCATCAGCTAAACAGTTTGGGGAAATGCAGTGTCCTCATAGATTTATAATACAAAATTAAAACTTTTAAATCAATTCAAGGTTAAAAGGGCAGTTAGGATTACCAGGAGAGCCAAAAGTAGAACAACCAATCCGAACAAATAGTATGCTTAATCTGCAATTAAAAATTTGACAAAATTTAGAGCCCTAGCAACAACTTCATGCACATGAACTGTAATACTAATCAATTGAAGGTTTTTCACTTTGACATTTTATCAAACACTTTGGTGAATATACTATATAACCTAATTTCAACATAACCCATTTCCCTGAACCACCCATCAATGAAAATCTCTTATTTAGCATATCAAATTCTCATTAAAAAAAATTAACATCAATCAATTAAGCCCTAAAAGAACAAAAAAAAGTTGACATAAAGACAGAGCGAGAGAGATCAAAAATAGATGAAGAGAGAGAGAGTGATGGAGAGAGAGAGAGAGAGAGAGAGAGACGCGCACACACATACCAGAAACACAGAGCAAAAGAGATCAGAAATAGAAGCCCATGACTTATCAGGACCCGTATTGTCTACAGCTGAAACCACATTCAACTCAGGATTCAGGGCCATAGGATTTTGGCCTCTGCCTCCCCTTCCTCCACGACCACCTGACCCAGATCGACCTCCAATAGGTGTGTAAACCTTCGAATCAGCCATACCACCACCAACTCCATGAGAATGGACACTCCCAGCCATCGGAAGGGCATCAAGCTTCGATACCAGATTTCTCGCCCTAGCAAAAAAGAGGCTGTCTGGGATATACTTATTCGCGATCTACAACAGCTTCCTCACTCCCCTCCATTTCTACGTTGTCTGACCACCGAGATTGGAGAAGTCTGGTATTCTTCTTGGCTTCCAAGTTCTTGAAGACAATTCCTCAGGTAGTGTTTATTAATCACTCGCTCAAATTTTTGATGATATACACTTAATTTATATATCTTATTGTAAGTATTTATAGTAGGTGCAAGTGTGTTAATGAATTTGAATTTTTGTTCAGGCCGTTGCGACGACTTGCTACGTTGCTACGCATCCGAGGCTTGAAAACGTTTCTGGAAAGTACTTGGCAGACTGCAACGAAGCTTCAACATGCAAATTGGGATCCAACTCTACCGAAGCTGCAAGGTTGTGGTCTGTCTTGGAGCTCATGCCCCAAGAATTTCTCAAATTTCTCTGGATTCAACCCAGAGAAATTTGAATTTTCTCTGGATTCAACCCAGAGAAAATTCAAAGGATCAGAGCAACATTCATGTTTATCCTGATTGGGCAGCCATGCAAGTTTTTCATTTGATGCATGCTCTTATGGAACACAAAAAATCAAGTTATCATGTTCCAATAAATTTTATGTTTAAGTATTGATTCAAGATAGTTTGTTGCATCTTCAGGCATACTTTGGCAGCAGAGTGACTGTATCATCGCATTTCAACTCAACTATTGCATCTGGTCATGCCCAGAGAAATTCTTTGGGTTGAGAGAATTTCTCTGGCTGGGAATTTTCTCTGGGTTGTGGAGTCCAGAGAAATTATCTGGGTGGGAGAATCTCTGGAAATGTTTGTCTGAGAATTTTTTTGGGTTTGGGGAGTCTAGAGAAATTTTGAAATTTCTCATATGTCCAGGAAAATTTTGAAATTTCTCTGATTCAACATTTGGACAGCAAAAGATGGCTCTGTTTCTCCCAAGCCAAGTTTTTTCCATGAGAATTATTGCAAAAAGCACAAAATCTGACTTGCTTGGAGGAAAAACTCCAAATATCAAGGATGAAGTGAGAATATGGTTGATCCAATCTGAGAATGATAGGTGGGAGAAATCATCTGTCCTAATACCCAACTTGGCAAACCAAATCATCTTGATGGGTTTGCATAAGAAGAACAGATGGACTGCAGATTCAGGTTCCGCTCCGCAGAAAGGACATTCAGAGGAGTCTATTTGGATTTTTGCTGAGACTAACCTCCACAGGAAGATTTTCTGTCTCTCATGGATTGTGGTTTCTAGAGCTGTACATCTCATTTTGGCTAGAATGAGAGGTAAATTTTAGACAGAATTGAATTTCTCTGAATTGAATTTTCTCTGGTTTGGACCAGAGAATTTCTTTGGATTAAATTTTCTCTGGTTGAATTTTCTCTGGATCGAATTTTCTCTGGACTGAAATTTCTCTGGATTGATGTTGAGGGACCTTAGACATCATGAAAATAGTTGATGTCCTTTATACTATAAAATCATAATATCATGGACTTTAAAAAAAAAAAAACCCTTAATAAGATCCGTCCAATAATAATATAAATATGTTTGAGTGATAGGAACTTTGAGAAGGAATGAAAATATATTTCACTTACATAAATAAATAAAATCATTTCCTTCTATTTCAATAATTCTTATATAACTTTTTTTATAAATAAATAAGTCACATATATATACTAGCGTATGCCTATGCCTGAAGGCACGGTGTAAATAATGTTAGGATTAGAATATAATTATAATCTCAACACTATTTAAATTTATTTTTTAATTTGATAGAATCAAAATTTTATTATAGAATTTTGAAGTTTTCACAAAACTCATCAGGAAAACTCGCTTTGCTTATATAATATATAGTTAGATAGATATATGTGCTTAACATACATACAATTTCTACGGGCATATATATAATATTGCTTTTGCTTATATAATTATATGAAAATTGTATGTATGCCC